CCTCCAGCCTGGATTGATACCAGGGATTGCCCTGACCCAAGTGCAGGAATTAATTTACATGCCCATCTCAGGCATTGTATCACCCACATTTTAGGTGATGGAGAGGGCTATCCAATCTACCTGGCACAACTGTTCTGTTTCCTAACCAGACACTGATAAATGCTATTGATATGTGCAGGAAGAAGTTCAAGATGTTTATATGTGAGTGCACTGGAGTCTTAGAACAGGATTTTAAAATATAAAAAAGTAACAGGAAATGCCAAATACCTCTTGTCAGTTCAGGATTTGGTTTGTCAAGTACTTCGAGTACTGAGCAGTCAGTACTGTTCTTTTTTGTAACAGCCTGATATTAAAGCACTCAACTAAAAAGTGGGAATTCCTGGGTTCTTGGCCCCTTCAGTGTGCTGAACTGCAGATCCTGACCCCATAAGTCCAGATAAGTGGTTCTCACTATGCTCTGAAGCTGAAGCATAGCATAATTTGTCATTGTGAGACCACAGAGAACACAAAGAAGCAAGGACTCCACAAAGTCCTCATCACCAGTTATTTTCACAGTGTTTTTAGTGCTTCCCCATATACAGAAGGGGGCATGTGGACCATGTCTCTTGTAGTGTTCAAAATTAGAATGTATCTAAAACCAAATAAAACAAAAGGGCTATATTCCCATCATCTAGCTCTGCCTAAAATTCACTGTGTCTTCTGTGCCCTGTTTTCTGGCTGTGAGTTTTCTGAAGCATGTACTCAATGGAAATTTTAGCCTAATTGGAATTTAAGCTGCCTGAAAATAGCCCCAAGGCAGCACCAACAGAATTTAGGGGAGATTGAATTCAGTGAATCTGTGCAAGTGCACAGAGCCCTGGAATTCTTTTGCTGATGTGAGGAGCTGGGCAGGATGCAGAAGTGCTGCAAGAGTCCAAATCCATCTCCTGTTCCGTTTCTGCTGCCTGAGCACAGGGAGAGACTGTGGCAGGACGAGCAAACATATGTCTGGGAATGTGGTGCTCTATGCTGGCAACACAGAGCTCCAGAGGTTATTACATGCATGGGAATGAAAAAGTGTGCCCTATTCATGCTTCCAAATTGTCAGTGTGAAATATTGTGATTATCATTTCAGATTTGACATGTAAAACTCTGCATTCTTAAGGTAGTTTGAATGTAACCTAAATTACTCTTCCCCTAACTATCTGGTTAGAATGAAATTCAGCTGTCACAGACAGGAGTAATGATATTTATTAATAGAATTATAATAGAACTTAAATGGGTACAGTACATCAGGACAGGAGATCACAGTCCTAAAGGGATTGATTTATCCTTGACTTCTATGAGCCTTTGTTATGGTAATGATAGATACATATTCCCCAAATCCTTTTGGTCCTTCTATGCCTTACCCTTTGATTTCTTTATTAACTCTCTTTGCTTGTCACTACACATTCTTGTTAATTCAGATCACATTTTGCAACTTGCATCATACTCTGCTATCTTTTTACCAAAATGGCTTACTGAACTGTCTAGCAGTTTATGTGATTTCCCCTGTTTGCTGCACCTCCTCTCAGTGCTTACAGAAGGGCCTGTGGGTGAGCTGCCACCAGCCAGACTCTGATTTCATTTGGAAAACCTGCACATGGGTTTCCTTTGTTCCTACAACAGTCAAGGCAACCAATCTAATTAATCACTCCAAGCCTTCATTAATAAATGTAGTTGTGATAATTTGGGGTAAACATGTTGATGTTTTCTGGACTACTGAATGTTTTATTTAAACATGTAATTTGGTTTTTTAGGCATTTACTTAAACATGGCAATTTATGGTGGCCCTGAGTGCTACAACTTTGCTGATGCTGAAAATCCTTCACATTTCTAAAGTCAAGATGTATATTTAGGTAAATAGTTGTGGGAATGGGTGCCTAGCACACAGTATACACTGACCACCATGATACAAATTGGTTGCATCCTCCTTATCAGCAGTAAATTGAAAAGCTGTTTATAGGTAGTGATATCTTCAGGGATATAAATGAGAGCAAAATATATAGGTTAATGTAGATTAACAGCTGTAAGAATAGCTGTAAGACTATTAGAAAGCTGTAAGAAAAGCTTATAAGAAAGTGAAGTACAGGGAAATTTTTTGAGTCCATTTTAACATAAAAAGGTAGTTGTTTTTTGGGGTTTTGTCCTGAAACAAAATATACTACTGTAGCATGTAGCTACTTCTTTGTACTTTGTTCAGTATAAGTATGTCTTGAAACATCATGTACTATTTCTTGGGACTAGATATATATGAAACATCAGCAGCATAATTTTGCTCATGTGCTGGGCTCTGAACTCAGATGCAATTAAATATTCATCAGGATAGATACCCTGACTCTAGCTATACTTGTAACAGCTATGAAAGTTTAATTAAGTGTTATGTTTCTGTTTAATGGAAGAGGAAAAATGAGCATTTCTGCTGAAAATTTCAGGTTTCAGGTTTAGAAATTATGATCCTTACTATGCTTTTTAAGGAGCCCATAAGATAAATTATCTATATAGAGTTGTACTTTTTAGTGAAATCATTCTCTTTCAAGAGACCTGTCCCAGCATCTTCCTTTGAGAGTACCCTGCTGTCTTTACCTTGTCATATCAAAATAAACTGTTTCCTAACTGAATGTGCAGCAAATAACCTACATGCTAAAACTAAGGGCATTGCATAGCAGAACAGTGAAGTTCTGCAGATCTTGTTGTACATTATAAATTTGATATGGATTTTCTGTTTTGTCGATACTAAGATTTTAAATTATATTTTTATCTGAGGGAGTAATAGTGTCTTTGAGGCAATTTCTGGTGAAATTCATTTCTGCAGCAATATTCCAAAAGAGCAAGGTTAAAGCACAGAAATACCAATTTGTGTCACTTGCAGGTCCTTTCTTATTTCTTTTTTTTTTTTCCTTTAGCCTATATTTTCCTCTTACAAAATGTACCTACATTATTAATGAAGTTTGGTCTCAGCGCCAGTGTGGAATCTGGAGGGTAAACTCAATCAGCAAGTTTGAAGTCCTAATCCTTGTAAATCCAGTATCAATAACAGATGATATTAAGATGGCACAGTAGATGGTACCTATTCCAACAGTTTCTGTAAATGTGATCTCATTGATTCTGTGTTTTTCCCTCTGTATTTTACAGAGCACATTGATTTAGAAGATGTCTTTGGCTTATAATCATTAGTGTTAGAAGAACAGAAAAATGTGCAAAAAAGCTTGGGGATGGTATGAAATGAAAGCCATTGTCTCTTTTATAAGCAAAGTAGGGATTTGCTTATAATTTTATTTTTATTACAGTTGTGCTGCAATTATTACATACTATATTGTATAAATAGGGTGCTTTTCTGAATTTCATTAATAGATTTCTCTCCAGCTACACTCTTTAGAAGTTTAGAAGGGAAATCATGACCAGGTCTACACTTTTAGAACAGCGCAGGATCAGGATCATATCTTCAAACAGATTTCCTGGACCTCCTTAGGAATGAGAAGGACCAGGCAAGGCGTCAGTTCCAGCTCACCATTCACTTGGTCTTTAAACCTGAGAGTCAATGGCAGTTGTGTGTGGAAGGATGGAAGGACAGAAGAGCTGAAAGGCAATAATCCTTTCTGTTTGGAAGCCATAATTAGCTGTCACACAGCTGTGCTGCCAGTGAGCTGGCTGCTGCAGTAGACTTCTAGTAGAGTGACTGGCCTGTAAAAAGCTGGATAAAATGGAAGGAAGCTAAAAAGAAAGAAATTCTGACAAAGGAATTTAGACAAACATAAAGTAAGTAAACGTGTCCATTATTATATATTATAGTGGACGAGACACTCTGTAGACAGAAAAGAGCAGTTTCACATTCATCAGCCTTGGTCCTCATGGGGGACTTCAACATTTACAAGATCTGTTGGAGGGACAGCACAGCAGGACAAATGCATTCCTGGAATATATTGAGGATAACTTCCTTCTCCAAATGCTAGAGAAGGCATTGGAGAGCCGCTCTATGCTGGACTCTGTTCTCACCAACAGGGAGGGGCTGGTGGGGAAGGTGAAGCTCAAGGTTAGCCTGGGCTGCAGTGGCCATGAAATGATGGAGTTCAAGAGTCTTAGGGCAGGGAGGAGAGTCTGGCCTGAGGAGATCAGACTTTGGTCTCTTCAGGGAACTGCTTGGTGGAGTGCAGTGGGATAGAGCCCTGGAAGGAAGAGGGGCCTGATAGACATAGTTAATATTCAAGGATCACCCCTCCCAATCATACATTCCAATGAAGAGGAAGTCAACACAGTGTCCACGTCAGGGGGCTTGGAATTAGATCTTGAAGGTCTGTTCCAACCCAAACCTGTGATTCTGTTTTGTATCAGTAAGAAAAGGAAGTTCATCTGGTGTTCTGTTTCCTGAGCCAACAGAAATTGTAGTGCTGAAGTCGATACCCTGTTGACTTGGAATGGGCCTATTTATTTCATTTAATAATTTTTTTTATAGTAAACATAGCTTTGTTTCTTGACTCCTAAAGAGAGAGCTCCTTTCAGGATACACAGAATAAGTAAATCTACATCCAGTGATGGCAGTTGGTATTGAATTAAATCATCCAGTCGTGCTAATGTGCAATATAAGGCAGTATTTGTGTTTCAAGTGCATAAAGATAGCCAGGGAAGTTTGCCAAAAATAAAAAATATTAAAAACATGCTTTTTTTTTTTTGGTCTAATTACAAGTTGCTTGAAATTTGTATTTTGCATACAGATACATTTCTCTGTTCTTATGCCTTCTGTGCCTTTTGTGGAGTTTTTTGAGTGTTCATGATCTTCATGACCACTTTCACTACCCATACACATACATTTTTCTGTCCATATAGTGTAGGTAGTTGTCCACTCCACTTGTACAATTTTTCAGCATACCAGTGATAATGCAGAATAATTCACTGAAACGCCATCCACAGAATTTCTGGTTTGGGTGGTTTGCCAGCTGAGCCAAAATACAAAGTTTCAGAAAGTTTAACCTTTTTCATTTCAGGATTACAATGATGAAATTCGCCAGGAGCAGCTGAGAGAACTTTCGTATTTGAACGGTTCTGAGGATTCATCACGTGGACGGGGCATTCGAGGAAGGGGGATCCGTGTGCCACCTGCAGCTCCTTCAAGGTGTGGTAACCTGAACTATTATGCTAATAGCTTTACAAAGCATAAACAATAGTCAAAAACCCTGTAGTTTAAAAACACAAAAAACCAAAAAAATCAAAATAACCCAGTTACATATGTATCTTGGTCAGTAAACAAAAATATTTGTCTTCTGATAACCTGTGTGGTCTGTATTGTTCCAGATTTTCTGATCTACAGTTCACTGGGTACAGTGGGTGACAACAAATGACAGCAGATTAGGAAGACAGGAAAAGGATATTTCTAAGACAGAACACTTTTATGCTAGTTAGTACTAAGGCAGTATGGTCAGTAGCATAAAATGTTTGGTCAAAATAATAGTGTAGTCAGAGAAGGACACATTGTCTAGGTGGAACTTATTTGCCAAATAATTACTTTTTTATATATATTACAGCTATATTGTGTGTACATACAAATATACCTATATATATAAACTGCATTATATTATTTGTTGATGGGTTATCAGTTTTAAGTGAATTTGATTGGCATATTCTAAAAACATTGGGGTGTGAATGTGTCCAAGTATTTTTTCATATCTAAATAACATATATCTCTTTGTTATTACAGCCAGTGTAAAATCTTAGAAAATTCTCTGACTTGTTTTTCACTCTGAACTCTTAAGAACTTCATTGCCTCAGGCATCTAAGTTACCTAGCTACTTCTGGTCTTCTCTCCATAGAGGTCATTTCAAGATGAGTCCTAAAAAAATGGACTCTTATTTTGGAGGAAATAGGATATAGGGGTGCCTTATGTTATGCTGACAAAGGAATTCTTCAGTAATTGAATGGCTGATCTTTCCTATGACCTCTGAGGTTTTTTGTCCCTGAAGATGTCTATCATGTTTGCCATCAGTTTTTCCTACATGAGCTTTTTAACTGGTCGTATGATACACTTACATAGAATTTTTGTGCAGTTGGCATTCATGACCGTCTTCTACTCAAAGAGTCTCTGGGCTCAGTCTTCCTTACATCCAAGATCTCTGAAGCGCTTGACTTAATAATGATATTAAGAATGTCACTGCAACAAACTAGCAGCTTTTAAATTGGCTTCAAAGCCTAACCAGTGGAGTTCTGGCCCCTAGTTCTGGCAAAATGCCCAAGTGACTGAATCAGTTGCACAGATCCTATGATCTTGGATGCCTTCCCTATTTTCCAGTCAAAAATCTTAGAAGAATATTAAAAAAAAACTGTTGAAGCAGTTCCAGAGGACAAAAATGACCAGAGGTCTGGAGCACCTCTCCTTATGAATTCAGGCTGAGAGAGCTGGGTTGTTCAGCCCAGAGAAGAGAAGGCCCTGGGGATACCTCATCGCAGCCATTCCACATATAAAGAGGGCTTATAAGAAAGAGAGAGACTTTTTACCAATCTTAAACAAAAAGAGGTTGGACATAGCAAAGAAACACTGGAAAATGTTGTGGATGCCCCATCACTGGAGGTGTTAAAGGTCAAGCTGGACAGATCTTTAACAATTCGATCTAATCAAAGATGTCTCTGCCCAAGGCATGGGGTTTTGACTAGATGATTTTTGAAGGTCCCTTCCAACACAAACCATTCAGTGATTCTGCAGGTCTGAAATCAGCTTCTGAACTTAGTAAAGTAATGAACATCACAAGCTAATGCAATGGATTTGATTGGATTTGGTTCAGCAGGGAGCAAGCCACAGTTCCTACTGCTACAGGAGACCTGAGTTACAACTGTGGATCTGGATGTCATGCATGCTTGTTACACCTGGCATTCACAGTCTTCCAAAAAGATAGCACACCCAGGAGCATACTGCTGTGAAACAAAACTCACAAACTACTACCCTGATTTATCCCCCTTCTATTTCATCTTATGGTATAGATACAAGTCTTTTTAAACAGTAACAGCTTCTTCTGACTTACTACTTTGTACAGCAAGGAAGATAAATAGCCAGGAGGATGCAAAACCTCTTTCCATGCTTGTCTATATGCTCTATTGTCTCTGTGCAGTGAGGGAAGGTAGAATCCCACACTACCAATCCTTTGTGCTGAACTAAATTAGACAGGAAGAAAAGTTATTCCTCTGCTTTGCCTTGCAAGTTTCTGCTGTCCTGCAATATCTTCTGCCAATACATTTCTCCCACCCACCAATAAACATGAAAATTGTAAAATAGTTTGAAAGCGACAGAAGAGGTTCCTCATTTTCTTCATCTTCTAGAACTACTTTGGAGTAATTCTGAAACCCTGTGAATTACTATGATAAAGAATTTTATTAGTACAAGCAACAGGAGGATCAGATCCAAAAGGCACTGGATAGTTTAAAAATAATGCCTTTCCATAATATGAGTTCTGCCTGAGATATTGCCTAAAAGTGCTTGACATTGTAGCTGCCAAAACCCCAGAATTATATGACGCTTTGAATAGTAGTAAAAACGTGAGAGCCTTTAAAATGGGGCAGCACATGCATGCCTTCCCTCGTTGTACAGGCCAGAGTGATGGTTCCTTTTTGCTCCCTGCAGGGGACGTGGGGGTGCCATTCCTCCCCCGCTGCCTGGACGAGGTGCCCAAGCACCCCGAGGAGCGCCGGTGACGCGTGGAGCGCTCCCTGTCCCACCGGTGGCCAGGGGCGTCCCCACACCTCGGGCCAGGGGCGCCCCGTCCGTCCCGGGCTACAGACCACCCCCGCCGCCCGCACACGAGGCCTATGAGGACTATGTAAGTAAATGCCTTTTTTCACAACGTGTGATGTGATGAACATCAAGTCCTTGGAAGATGGAATAGTCCAGGCCGAAAGCTCCTTTGTCTCTAACGCTTTTCCCCTGCAGGTGGATGACAGTCTGGGTGATGCAACGTGTCTGCAGGCCTGTGCTGGGTCTTGTGGGTTTGCAGATTTGTTCACAGCTTAGTTTTGGATATGAGAGATCATGCTGGATGAGAGGGGAGACGTGTTGTTGTTCCAAATCCTTTTTATTTCATATTTGTATTCAACACTATGTTACAGATACATAACAAATAGAAATTCAGGTAGTTTTCATGAAAGCTGATACAATGATGCATCTTTAGCCAGGAGCAGTACTAACTGACTGTCACCTTTTCTAATGAGGTGTTAAAAATAATTGTGCTGTACACATCAAAGCTTTCAAGTTGTTCTCATTAATGTTTCCTTCTGGAACTATCACCATAACAACAGATATCCAAATAGAGAATAAAGTGCTACGAAATATGATGTCTGAATTTTTCCAGCCATGGCGAGTCTAAGAGAAAGATGAACATCTTGTCTATTCCCTAATCCTACCACCAGGGAAAAATGCACTTCTATTCAATTAATAGTCTTCCTAGAACAGAAGAAAGGAAAATTAAACAGAAGTTATTCTTTGTTGCTAAAGCTTCACTCAACCATGTGTATTTGTAATGTAGTGATTGGGTCATGGCCACTTCAAATCAGGGATGCACATTCTTTTAATTCTAAGAATCACAACTGAGCAAGATTAGCAAAAAAAGAGGGTAAAAGAAAGTCATTCTTGTATTGTCTCAACATTAATGAATGAGCTCATAAACAAGCTAAAAGCCCTGCTAAGAAATAGAATTTCAAAAGTATATGCCTTCCTTGACAGACGCTGTAGTATTGTCTGTTAGTATCAAAATGTATGAGACCTTCATTTCTGTGAAGATACCCTTGTAATAATGTAAGATTAGGATTACAATTGAAGTAATTTCTTTTTTCATGTAAAATACCAGTAAATGTACTTGAGAATTAAAAATCTTTCAGGGAGCATTTCTTGCACTTTTTCTGGATGGGTATGGAAAGCAGGAGGAGAAATTAAGGCAGCTGGATTATCAAGGTTAGGAAGGCATTCAGCCAGTTCCCCACATTTTTGAAATGCCCACACTCTCAGTAGCACAAAACATATACACGATTGAAAGTTAGTTTAACTTGTGATACATTAGTCCAGTAAAAACAAACATATATGTTTGTAGGTTTTTTCCGCTTCACAGATAGCAGCAAAAAACCATGCTGCCTTATAAGTCAAAATTCACATGTTTTGGAGATCTTCCATCTTTTCAACATCTGTCTCTCACAGCTAGGAATGTATGAGATTGCTGTCATGCACCCGTTTGCAATGAAAATTTTTTGTCATTTTATAAAAGTTTGTAAGTTCAATCTAAATAATTTTGGTATCTTATGGGCTGAGCTAATAACTAGAATTCTGATTCTGTGCTGGTAGAAGGAAAAGTTCACTGTCACAGATCTGCATATAATATTGTATACGATGTTTTAGGGAAAATATTTTTATTTTTGCAGAAAGTAATCAACAGTTTTTCTTCCCAAATAAGCCATATAAAAAAATCAGATACCTGGCTGGATACTAAAAGCAAGTGGATCTATTTGTTGACCTGCAGCAAATGTCATGCGTAATTGTTATTCTTTCCCCCTTAATCCTACAGATTAAAAACTAATTTATATTGAATAATTTATCTAATTTACTATTTTTTTCCTGCTTCTAAACAACCCACAAGCATATTAGAGTTTCCTTTTGAGTTTATATTTTTCAGTTTTGATTACAGTATTTCACACCATTTTTTTCCCTACTATTTGCAAGCACCATTGGTTTGATTAGTGGTACATATGAATGCATTGTCATTGATTGTGAATGTCCATATTCTTCAGTTTTCTTAGCTCTAATGAAAGGTAGTCACTTGAATGTTGATCTGAAAGTGAATTCAAGAAATGGAATCGAATGCCTAGAGTTTTCTTAGCTCTAATGAAAGGTAGTCACTTGAATGTTGATCTGAAAGTGAATTCAAGAAATGGAATCGAATGCCTAGAGAAGATTTTTTAAAAATGTTTAGACAGCATTTCCTGAAAAAAAATCTTTAGCCGTTTGCTGAGCACTACTAATCAGAGATTGTATTGACTGTTTGACCTAATCAGAGATTGTATTGACTGTTTGACCTTGAAACATCTAACTGTTAAAATAGGTTTAGATAAGCTTTTAAAAGTTTGGATTATCCAATATATAAATATTTTGAGGTTTCCTGATGGCATTTCCGAGAATTCATAAAAGCATATGTCTCAAGGTTTATTAAGAAAAGTCCTGTCATTCTGGTGAATATATTCATGTACAACATTTTGAATGTCAAGCTTAGCCAGAGGGAAAAAATATTTGGAACCTTTCAGAAAGAGGGCTGAGGCAGGAAGGAGGACTGACTCACCTAACACCTTTTTCTTTACTTGCCTGTGAAACTTGCTTTATATTGAATGTAGCCTAGATAGTATCTTAGAGGAATTTCTTATCAACAAGGAGAGGAGGTACTGACATAAGAAAATACATGCAAAGGGAAAGTAGTTACCATGTGAACCTTCTTCACTTTAAAAACACTTCATTGGGTGGGAATGTGGATGGAGAGTGTAACTGGCAGCTGTCATGCAGCTTCTGAGATCAAGAGGGGTGGTCCAGGGTTTGTGACCTGGTGCGTTTTAACCATAGCCAACAGCTAAGCCACATGCAGGTGCTCACACCCCTGGTGAGGTCAGGGAGAGATTCAGAAGTGTAAAAATGAGAAAATTCCTTTTTGAGTTTGATTGAGACAAGATAGTTGTAGTAGATTGGCACTGGCTGGATGCCAGGCACCCACCAAAGCATCCTCATCTCTCCCCTGCACAACTGTACAGGGGACAGAAAATAAAATGAAAGGTTTATGAGTTGAGATAAAAACTGGGAGAGAAATCACTCAGCAAATACTACCAAGAGCAAAACAGACTCAATTTTGGGATGTTAATTGAATTTATTACCAACAAAATCAGAGCAGGATAATGAGAAGTAAAATAAGACCTTAAAAACACCTCCCCTCCTACCCTGTCCATCTCCTTCCCAGCTGTGCCCCCTCCCCTGGCACAGGGAGACAGGGAATGGGGGTTACACTCAGTCCATCACAGGTTGTTTCTGCTGCTGCTCAGGGAAAGGAGCTCTACCTCTGCTCCAGCATGGGCCCTTCTCTCCAGGTCTGCAGGTCCCTGCCAGGAGCCTGCTCCAGGACAGGCCTCTCATGGGGTCACAGCCTCCTCTCAGGCATCACCTGCTCCAGTGTGGGGCTCCTCCAAGGGCTGCAGGTGGATCTCTGCACCCCTGTGTCCCTCCATGGGCTGCAGGGGCACAGCTGCCTCACCATGGGCTGCACCAGGGGCTGCAGGGGAATCTCAGCTCTGGCACCTGGAGCACCTCCTGTCCCTCCTTCTGCACTGACCTTGGTGCCTGCAGAGCTGCTCCTGTCACATGTTCTCACCCCCCTCTTCTCTGGCCACAATTGCATCTAAGAAATACCTTCTTTTTTTTTCCTTCTTAAATCTGTTATCACAAAGGGGTGACTATCAACTCAGATTGGCCCGTGGTGGTTCTGGCCTGGAACTGGCTGACATTGGCTCTGATGAACGTGGGAAAGTCTTCTGGCCGCTTTTCTCCCAGCTACCAGAAGTTTGCCCTGCAAACCCAGCAGAACAGTGCCATGGGTAAACAGGGGGGTGGATTGAGAACTGGCTGAATGGCAGATCCCAGAGGGTTGTGATCAGTGGCACAGGGTCTAGCTGGAGGCCTGTCACTGGTGGTGTTTGCCAGGGTTCAGTTATGAGCCCAGTATTATTTAAGACATTCATGAGAGACTTGGATGAAGGAGCAGAGGCCTGCTCAGCAAGTTTGCTGATGACACAAAGCCAGGAGGAGTGGCTGATACCCCAGAGGGCTGTGCAGGCCTTCGGAGGGACCTTGACAAGCTGGAGAGATGGGCAGAGGAGAACTGTCTGAAACTCAACAGAGGCAAATGCAGGGTCCTGCATCTGGGGAAGAATAATGCCAGGCACCAGTGAAGGCTGGGGGCAGACCTGCTTCAAAGCAGCTCTGTGGAGAAGGACCTGAGGGTCCTCTAAAGGCTAAGGTCTTGTTGGCAACTTGTGAAACTGGCAGTAGGCATGACAGATTAAGATTCATGATTTATTACACAGAGTGTACTTGAGTAGGTCTGCTGCTATAGAGGCAATAAGTAACAGAAACATAGAATGGTTTGAGTTGGAAGGCACCTTACAGATCATCTAGTTCCAAACTTCCTGCCATGGACAAGGACACCTTTCTAGACCAGGCTGCTCAAATCCCCAGCCAACCTGGCCTTCAACACTTGTAGGGATGGGGCAACTTGACTGGGCAAAGGCAGTGTTCAGTGCAGTATATTTTGATCTGAGCATCCAGACATTTCCACTCAAGATTAAAGCTAAATTTTGCTTAATCCAAATCTAAACCAAAATTGCTGTTGCATTCTGATCCTGTTTTGGAGGACATTTGACTCTGGATCTGTATTTTATCCTTCTGAATCAGAAGCTAGTAATGAATTGTCCAGTGATATTTTTTCTTCACGTTTTTTTAGAAGCTATGGTGAGCCTTGCAAAGAGGTCTGATGTGAGTTTTTAAGTGACTTATCACTTGTTCCCTTACACCAGATGGAAGGAATTACCAAAGCAGAATACATTTGGGACTAAAAAACACATTGCTTTTGTATTTTACCTCTAGTTGCATTTTCATGCTTGGATTAAAAAGAGGACTTATGCACAGAAAGCCACTTGTCATAATATGAATACTTAGATGAGCTTCTTGCTTTTACAAGCAAATATGTAATTTGTTTGCAAGAAATAGGCTGGTCTGTCAAGGCACTATGAAGCTGGTACAGCT